TTTTTAATTAATTTAAGCGATAGGCAATTTTAGGCACGTTTGAGATGTAGACCATGTGTTCATACACGGTCCCTGGTCGATATGTTTTTTTAATAAAGTAGTCATGTGTGCATTCCCGCTCCTTGACTTTTCAATATTAATTGTATTTAAACCATGTGTACCGACACGTTCTTTGTTTTAATACATATAATCAAATAAGGACTTTGTGTGCTTGCACGCTCCTAGGCCAAAATTATTAATTATTAAGCATCACTAGACAATAGTAACTTAAGGCAAATAATACACACTTTATCCAAAACTAATTCAAGCCAAATTTTAGTCAATTAAAGCGACCGTGCTAGAACCACGGGATTCAGGGAATGCCTTACACCTTCTCCCCGGTTAACAGAATTCCTTACCCGGACTTTATTTTTGCAGACCAATAATAATAGAGTCAAATCTTCCTTTGATTAGGGATTCAAATAAAAGGTGACTTAGAACACCAACAAAATCAATTCTAAGTGGCGACTCTATAAATAAAATAATCCGTACTCAATTTTGTCACTTTAATTGGAAAAACCCTTTAATCCACACAATATTATTTTGCGGGTAAAACAAAGGGGTGTGACAGTTCTGGCGACTCTGCTGGGGACTTCAAGAATTCGAGCTTGTACATTGACTTTATTTGGCTTTATTAATTTTTGTATATATTGTGATTTATTTGGGCCTAATGTATTACTTGTCTAGTTTTTACCGTTTTGATATTGTTGAACTATACATATAAATTGTATCTTCTCTCGCATCCCTCTGAGACTTCTGATAATTAGTTATGTTGTGTTTGCCTACCAGCATCACAAAATTTCTGTCTTGAAATATAGCCAGTTAGCCTAACAGCTTCTAGTGAAGGATTTAGTCACACGTGTTTAGGCGGGAGAGCCGTTAGCTAGCCAGTGTTGTTCTACTACTGGTGACACTTGACACTCCTCGGCTCGGGTTATCCGCCCGGGTAAGCCAGGTCTAGATACCATCTCCTTTAGGATTTACAAACTTAGAAGAACAAGCCACAAGTAATGAATATCCCGAGTAGGCTACGCTTTATTTGCATCATGTGCATTTGACTTAGCATCGCTCGATGCAGGGGCCGAGTTCTGTTTTAGGACAGGTGCCTTGTTGAGACCATTATGTCATGTTATGTGCTACTTGTTGCATTATTTGGGAAGTTTGCATGTCGACCAACTTCAGCATAAATTAGTTGAATGAACAGAGAAAAAAATGATGCGGTCTAGTGCATATGGTTTTTAAAGATTAATTTTTATAAAAATAATAATAATAATAATAAAAAATAGTGGGTTTGACCGAACTACGCGGTTCTGATTCTCACCGGATGTGAGATACGTAGGCAAAGCTCATCGGTTTCGGCCCCCAATTTTCAAAAATCCAAAAAGATATCTTCCTTTAATTGCTTCTTTAGAAGTTTCT